TCCACCATGTCAAGGCCCTTTCTGTGAAAGTGGCAGCAGCAAACTTTATTTTGCTCTCTTAGGAGCATGAGCACATTTTGAAGACAGCTTCAGTCCTTTCAATCCACTGGGATAAAGCAAGGAATCTGCCGGCCCCATTGAAAAATGTCGATTTGCAGTTCATAAAATCTTTATAAGTACACCCATGTGCACGTGAGGGAATTTCACCGTGTCTGGAGTTGATGCCCATTCTAGCTCCACTAGCATCACCGGAGTTCATTTGATCCATAGCGGCTGTTACGGCTGCAGTTACAGCTGTTTGGAATATCACAGGATCGATCTGTGGAGGAGGGGGTGGTGGAGGTGGAGTTTGAGCTGCAGGTCTGCCTTTGTTCGGGCGCTTGCGGGGAGGCATCTTTTACTGAAAGTTCATAGGGATAATGACAGTAGTGAGAATCAATTGCATATATGATGAGAGCATTTCATGGACTAAACCATAGTACAACTATCAGATAGAGTCATAGAAACAGAGAAGATAGCTACCAATATTACTGATATTAATGATGTAATATGAATTCGGGAAAAGTGACCTAACAGTAGGTCTTACATCAAACCATTAGGAAAATGTTGGCAGCCTAGAGGCCTAATTAGAGTACCTTAAAAGGTAGGAATGTTTACAAACAAGTGCTCTACCGAGCATAGAAAGAGAAAGGCTACTCCTTAAACAAAAGGGAAAGATAAGTAGATATCTTCTACTGACGATGGGTACTCGTTGGGCGAACCCTAAGATCAGCTAGTTGGCAAACAACTTCCTGAAGATGTCTCTTGGACCCTCTGATGTGCTTGGAGTTCCCTAACTTCAGCTCGGGATGCATCTAGTTGTTGCTGCAGAACCTCATTGGTCCTCCTAGTCCTATCCATGGCTTCTTCCAGTTGGCGGATGCAGGCAGTGTTAAGGATAGAGTTGTTATCAATTTCCATGACTCTGCCGATGACTGCTTGACCTTGTTCGGTGTTCCTGGAAATCCTACATACCATGATGGGCAAGACTCGATCCGCTGATCCTCCTTCGCTTATGTTGTAGAAGTTTCAGTTTCCATCGAAAGGTACAGGCTGACCATGCTTATTGCTCCATCGGTTCAAGGTTATTGCCCACATGGGGTTGGGGCCTTAAAATACCGGACGGGGGTTAGGGTTTGGAGCTACTGGGGGCAGGTTGTTGACTTCTGGCTCGGAGTCGAAGCTATCCGAAAAGCCTTTAGCATGGTGATCATCCAAAGGAATCGGGTGATCTTCTTCTGGTTCTTCATTGAGCCATCCTCCATTGCCTTGGTTCAGATAATACGGATCGCCGGGATGGTGGAAGCCAGCCATGCTATCTACACGAGAATGGGGAAAGAAAGGTTAATAGACGTACTAATCTAAGATACTTATAAGATGATCGTTATCAGTCGATCCAATACTTGCATAGTGCATACCAATTACATGTAACCGAAGCAAGATAGCCCTTCGAATAAGCGACCCTAACTCTAGATCCCCAATCAAACAAGAACAGGAAATGAAGCAAAGGTCACAAATTCTAATTCTATAGCGCCCTAGTCACATGTAACCGTGATGTATTCACTTAGCAACTATTGCCCTACTAGTAACGACCCTTTTTGTTATCACATATACAGTTAGTAGAGTACAGAATACTCCTATAGTATTCTTGTTCTAGCGTTCTTGTGGTAGTGTCGGTAAGTTTTTAGACTTGTTGCAACACCACAATCACTCTTAGGCACATGATAGTCACTCCTAGAGAGATGTAGTTGATTAGGCTACATCCACCCAGATGTGACTATATGTCTCTAAGCTTAATTGTGATGTTCAACAATCTTTAATACTTCTGTTATGTTCTAGAATGATATTGACCCTTTGTATTGGTAAATGTATGTATGTATGTATGTGTGTATATATATATATATATATATATATATATATATATACTTAATTAAATATTTTAGTATTTAAAAGTATATATTCTTTGTCAGAGTGTTTTAGTCCCGAAGTGTTTATAGTTCATATATCTTTTATGGGTTGATATACTTGATTCACTATAAACAATGCTCTGATACCAATCTGTCACACCCCAAAACCGAGAACGGCTAAATATGTTCTGGGGGTGGAGAACATCATGTACAGTATCATAACAATTGAATAATAGTAAAAACAAGTGACAACAACCATTGCATTAATATAGTAACTGTAAATACAAACCTGTTCTGTACAGTTAATAGACACCAAAAGTATAACAAAAATAAAAGATGGGTCTTGTATATGCTCCATCTTCTCAAAATTTGCACCAGTACCTGTCTATCTTTGACCTAATGATACAAGTTATTTTGAAAACGAGTATCAGCATAAAGCTGGTGAGTTCATAAGATTTTAGTGTCATTTCTTGTATAAAAGTGTTTAAAGTCATGTAATATAAAAGCTGACATAAATGTTGAGAGTAGTAGAAATCCCTAGAAAAATCCTATATTTTCCAGAATTGTATATTTGTAAGTTAAATCCTTTGAGTATGTAGCAGTATTTTCATTGAAACTTTCAGTGATAAAATAAGGTAATAAGTTTCATACGAGTAACGTAGATGACTAAAAGTATTGTTGGTTGACTGTAGTAGTGTTGCAAACTTCAATATATATTTATTTACTTCGGGAAATTAACTTTGGCTTTAAGTCTTAGTGTGTAAATTTGGATATTGGATGTGATTTCTAATGTAACCAAACTGAGTGATTATAGAGTGCCCGATGACCTTCCCGGTCATCCGTAGTGTAGTGATGTCGTGTCATCCCTGGGCCTAGTCAGCTCGGACTGTAATTAACAATCGGGATATAATAGCATTTGTCCTATATAGATCTGTACATGTAGTGTTGCTTTCCTTCCGGGAAGCCCTGGGTACATGATATTTACGCAGTAGAGTGTCGTATAGAGGGATAGTGTGTTATATTTTGGATTAGTGTATTCTCTTATATTATAGTATAGTGACTTTTAGTATACTATAGAGAGTGTTCTCTTAAATGAGTCTTAACTCGTGATAGTAGTAATTATAATGGGTATCGTAGTGATAGAGGTAACGAGCAGTAGTATTAACTATACCTATTATAGTTAAATAGAGTGTGGAGTCGCATGACTTTGATTTACAAAGGTATTGAATAAGAAGAAAACTTTCATATCTAACACCGATATATATATGATATATAACTAAGAAATCAATGACATTCGGACGGATAACAATATACCCTAAGACCACAATCAAACAAGAACAGGAAATAAGGTGAGCTATCGGTCCTAAGTCCTTTAAGTCTTATTTATATAAATATATTGATGTCATTATAATTCAAAAGAAAAGTGGTTTAAACACAGTTTGAAAATAGTTTAACAACAATTTAACTTAGAAAATGCGTTTGATAAATATTTAAAACAGTTTTATTGACAAATAGCTAAAAGTATAGAAAATCCTTTTTGGTTGTACGTTATAAATCACATATGATTAGGAACTAGAACTTGTTGCATTTACTTGTATTCCCCCCCCCCCCTAAAACATGTAAAAACATTTAAAAAGGTTAATTAAGGGGTATGAACTCACCTGTAGCGAGTAGATCGGGTGGAAGTGTCGGACGAGCGTTTGGTGCCAAGTAAAGACTTGTACACACTCTATGACCCTAGTAACATATGAAGACATATGTTTATAAGTAATTAGTGATTAAGACACTAATTAAACACATATATACATTCTAATGTGAAGAAAAGCTCTATAGTTAAGTGCTAGAAGGCTATTGGGTTGCAAGGAAGAGTTTTAGGCCTCACTATGGAGTTTACTCCTCACAAACTCACCTTGGGTGAGTTTACGGTTGAGGAACCACCTCCCCCATGATTTTGCAGTCGTAAAATCATGGGAGGAGTGTATTTGTCTGTGTTCAAGTCTCTTGTGTCTCTAGGAAGGATTCCAAGGCAAATTCCATGGCTTGAGGGGTGTTTAGGGTTCAAAAGAGGCACTCCCTTGGAGTTTGTGGTCCTAGGACCACTCCTTGGGTGTTTACAGTCGTGAAAACCATGGTTTACGGTCGTGAACTCTTGGATACCCCTTATACTTCGTTTTTGAGGTCCTTAGCTTACTCCTACAAGTTTCTATGTGAAGGTCCAAGGATAAATAGGGGGTTAAAGGCTCAAATTGGATAGTTTAAGGGAGATTACGGCCTAAGGGTGTTCTTGGGCCATAAACCCTCTTTTAAGCCTCTAAACACAAGATTTAATGGCTAAAAAACTTCTAGCTTATGTTCTAAGTTAGCCTTTAAGCCTAAGGAAAGGATTTGGGGCCATTTTGGCACACTTTTAGGGGTTTACGGCCCTAGAGTGTTCTTGGGCTTTAAACTCCTTAATCTTGGCCTTCTTGGATGATTTTCAAGCTATAATGACAAGTAATGAGTTGTAGAACAATCTAGGGTAAGAGTACTTACAGTTTGGAAGAGGAAACTTGCGGATTTTAGAAGAATCGGGCCTTGAAGAGAGAGAGAGTAGAGAGAAAGGGACTAGAGTGGTAAAAGTTCTAACTTGGTGACCACTCAAACCTTATATAGGGTTTGAGTTTGTGGCCAGGTGGAATTTTACCCGATACCAACGTTAAATGGGGCTTAAGGTCGTACCCGATTAAATGGTCGTATTTTAATTCGTTTGTAACTAAAACTTCTTAAAAGGATATTTAGGGTGTTTCCCCGCATTTCTAATTTATTCTGATCCTTATGAAGTCATAGTAAAAGTACAAATTTTTATTTGTTTGATCCCAATGTTAACGGAAAAGTCAAATAAGAACGAGTTCTATTAACGGAAAACGGTTTACGGTGATGGAATAATTTCGGGTTGTCACAGTTGCTAATGATATCAGCAAATTCTTGTGCCAACCAGATGCTCCATTTTGGAAAGGGTGAATTAGGGAACGATTTAACAGAATGTTCAGCCATTTGACATGACCTATTAATATGTTATGCGTTGTCTAACCACCATTGGGATAAAGGTCCAATGTTGCTTGCATCAGTAAAAGTGCCACCTCCATATTTCCCGGATGCTTCATTCAGGAAGATTTTGATCTTGGCTTTCCATTCGTAGAAATCACAAATAAGAGGATGCCTTTCGATTGCTTCTCCAAGTTTTGATTCAAACAAATGGTTATCCTCAACAAGCTTGTTGAACATACTTTCAATGATGGAAAGGTATTCCTGGAAACATGATGACTGATTAGTAATATGTGATAAATATGGAAAAAATCATGCGTATTATTTCTAACCTTTACTGATCCATTTGCCGAGTTGACAGTGTCGGCATTATCATCCTGTGGTATGTAAGGATTTTGAAGTTCACCAGTACCGATACCACCATATTTGATCTCATACTCCTCACGTAAGCGCATGGTTTCCACATCCCAATAACATATAGCAGGTCTTTCGCGGTCGATTGTAACCGCATCACATGAAACATGCTCCAGGTATACGAGTTTATGTGATAAAAAAGGATGATTAGATAATAAGTGAACAAGAATTAGGCATTGATTAATCAGTGATGTAGTGTTTTAAGCATCATTGACTAAGTAATGATGAATAAGTAGAATTAATGAAATAAGTTAAGTTGTAGGATAGGTACCATCAATAGGACAATATGACCAACATAGTAAGATGTGTCGCTCATGGAATTACATGCATGTTTCGTATTTTTCAAACACTTTAACACATATGAACACCAATCTATGTCGCTTAAATCTAAATCCTGTGAAACCCTTGAAAGCATTGATACATCACATGTGCACATGCTCTTGGATTGTCCAAGAGTGTTACAAATAAGCACCAAAAAAATTCACTTTAAACAATAGCCTAACATCTTTTAATCTCTTAATCGCCCTTTGTACGCCTTTGGTCCTAACATCATTTTCTGACTCGAACTGTGCGGACCACAAATCAACAGTTTTGTCTTCAGCGGGTGTGCACTTTAATGAATTGATATTTGCATTCCCCGAAGGGAGACCTAACATGTCATGTATCAATTGCCTATTGATTGGTATCTCACCATGCTCGACATTCAATACCATGCGTTCAGGGTCAAAGTTGTTGACCACATAGTACCCAATTCGTGATGCCGACCCATCTACCCTTGTATTTAAAAGGGGACCAAATCCAAGGTATGATAAATATTCCCTTTGGTCAATCGTCAAACTGTGCATTGTGGAGAATAATATATTTGGTGACATACTAATATGAATTCGCCTTGGTTGTATTTGAATACCGAGATGAACTCCCTTTCTTTGATTTTATGTTGTTCAGTTTCTTGACTTTAACTCTTGTCTTAATTGATTGAGGGTTGCCCATGTCTTCTCTAGCTTTCTTCACCTGATGCTTTGGTTGTTGCAACTGGAGGTGATTTCCTTGTATTTTGGCTGATAACTGGGTTAGGGTCTTCAAAATCAGAATCATCATGTGTTGGTTGCCGATTCTCTTTGGCCTTAAACAACATTTTTTTAATATCTGTGTATTTTTTTGGTGGAAAATACAATATAGCAGTAAAAAAAAGTAAATGAAATGAATGAATTACACTAGAAAATTTAAAAAGACGGTGATAGTGAGCTACCTAATTTTGTATAACCATGCACAGGTGAATGGGAAGTGGAATGTGGATCACATTTCTGCTTCGAGCGATTTTCATTAATCACTTCAACAGAAGCACTATGTCCAGAACAAAGACCTTGTATTGTTGTCGAGGCATAAACAAAATTAATTAAGAGTATGCTTTTTGGTGTGTTAACTAATTCAAAGAATAATAAAAACAACTACCTGCATTCTGAATTGGTTTAACAGTTGCAACAAGTTTGCAATTTGACCTTTGATTCAGAACTTCAGTGTTTGTAGAGGTTGGTATGGGGGTAATACTGATAGAATCAGATGAATCTACATCCATATCTATTATTATTGGATTTGAAGGGTCATTCTTGTATTTCATTAGTGAGTATTTGTTACAGATACGCTCGCTACATGCGACCTAGTGTAGCTCAGACATGATAACAAATTTATAAGTCCAATCTTATTGTTAACTACGCCCATATACATAATGTAAATTGCAACATATGTATAAAACAGAAGCAACATACATTTATATGGAATGTATGGTGCATAAAATGTAGTGCAAACAATATAAAATGTAACACATAAGCATGAAATTATGGCAAATAAGATCATACATGATAACAAAGACATAAGTCAAATCTTACAGTTAACTACAAAAATTAACACTTTAGTAGGTAAGACATATGTGTGAGATTAGGGCAAAATTATAAGTCTAATTTTACTGTTAACTACCCCCATAAACATAATGCTAATTGACACATATGAATAAAACAGAAAGAACATACATTTATATAGAATCTATTGTGAAAACTACCTGTTAACTACACAAATTAACATAATGCAAATGTTGAAACATATTAATACAACATATATACCGCACATTAAAAAGGAATCTATGGGTAATAAATATAATGCAAACACTTTAGCAGGTAAGACATAAGTCTGAGATTAGGGAAAAACAGACCTGTGGCAATATTTACCTAATCAAACCATCTACATGGGAAACTCATCTCAATCGAAGAATTGTAGTTGAAGTTAACAACATACTTATGCTAATAACATCATTCAAGCTCTTGCAAAAAGATTTACATGATTAAAAAAAACAGTGGACATATAAATGATAAACTAGGTCATGTATCTTCCATGAAACATTTCACAACATCGAATTTATACATTCCAAATCATGTAAAACATTGTGTACAAATTATACAAACTGGAGTTATATGATTGAAAAAAACAAAAAGGTTAACAGTAAACGTAGAACGAACTAACCTCTTGTGTGATTCCTAACTGCACATCCTCCTTCAAATTCGACCTCCATAACCTTTTCTATCGACGATTTTACCAATAAAACGTATGTAATCTTGAAGAATCCCAATGTTCCAGCTTCACATTGGTTGCATATCATCGAACCGCAAAAACTAAGGGATTATTGATATGTAATGTGAACCAAACTGATGTACAATGATCAACACATTCCAGCTTAAAGATTCTTGCAAATCAACGGATAATAAAAAAAAACCACAAACTTTTAACTCTACTGTAACTATTGAGGTGGTGAATGGAAGAATACGGATGGATGAAATACATGGATATTTTGGAGATGGAGATATTAGGTACGGACGTATATCTTGGAAATGAAAATGGTAGGTAGGATTATGTGTTATCAATCTAATTAAAATAACAAAACCCCTAATTTAACATTACATAAATAAAAAATACCCTAATTTAATATAATTTAATATAGCATAAATTAGGGAAATCAACTGGTATATAAAATTTACACTTTAAGGACAACATTTTCAAAAAGTAACAAAAATGGACTGTTCTGACGTTCTCAATATTTTACGTGTTCTCAATATAACTTACCTATATATATATATATATATATATATATATATATATATATATATATATATATATATATATATATATACACACACACATACTAGACCTAACCTCTCGCGTGGCGCAAGAATGCATTTAAGTGGTTAAAATAATTATAGGAAAAAATAGAAAGATGATGAAATTATGTTTTTAGTCATGTTTTGGCATTAACCGAATTATCAAATAACATAAAAATCCATAAATTTATATTTTGATACTATCTAATATAGTACATACCTTATAAACTTTTATTTTTACTTTTATAATATCCAATATATATTATAAGTTTTTGTATAACGTTAAAATAATCTACTTTTCATATGTCCGATAATATTTGTTGGATAAAATAAGAAATAAGTTGTTTTAAATGAGTTATTAATAAACAATATTGAATTAATAAACTTTGTACTACACTATTTACATTACACTAAAACATCCAAGGTTTCATATATGAACTTTCAAATATTAAAAATTGAAATTAAGACTGAAGTCATACAAAATATATCATTATACATAAATATCATCAATTGTTTTAAAATAAGTCGATTAGTAAATATGATATTTAATTTTAATTACAAATTTTGCAAGGTGCACCTTTGACTTTATGTTGGTGCGCCGAGAATCCTCTTCCTTAATTTCTACCTAAAAATTAAGGTGAATAGGAATATAAAATAGATATTACTAAGAATTAATATAAACTAGAAAAGTGTCCCCCGCTTTGCGGGGGTCAGAAGCCTTCAATGTCGTTTTTCTGGAATCCTTCAATGTTGGTTTTTCCAATCAATCCAACATCGTTTTACCCTTGTGAATACCCTTGTGAGAAAATTCACGACTACCCTCTCTTGCAACCTCTCCTTACGCCAAAGAATTTGAAAAAAAAAACAGGAATATTCAGATTTACAATTCTGTCAAACTCTAATTCCATTGACAAATTACACCACCATATCAGAAATAGAAAAAATTCTAAAAATAAATAAATTGATAAATCATATGATCAACGTATTTATTACTGATCATATACTCTAAATAGATATTATCACCTACAAGGAACACAATTTCATAAATGTTGAATTTTACAATCTACATGTTTTACAATAGTAGACTTTCGTCAAAGTTTGTTGTAATATCAGTTAACTAGCATCTACAGTAAAATCATATGAAGCATATAAGGAAAATAACAATTTTAAGGGTTGAAATCCCCAAATAATTAGCTATCATTCCCTTGACGGAAGGTGTATCAGAGGAAGCATGGTATTCTATCTCCATAGATAATGACATAGATAAGTTCCAATCAAATATCGTTTGATTATACATGTGTTATGATCAGAACTATTAATTCAATGAAAGATTATAGATTTACTTTATAAATTAAATTATGAGAAAAATATTCTTTAATCAAAAAACATTGTTTCAGAACATGGATGTGAACATCCATTAAACGATAAGTAAATCAAGATTTATTCATAAATTACAACTATTACATGTCCCTATAAGGATAGGTACAATACATATATTGTTTAAATAAAAGACTATAACAACACTTGTTATATCTTCAATACGAAATACCATCCGTTTGTAATCGGTTGATTATTTCTTCCAATCATCAACATATAATATCAATTATTAGTGTCACTTTAACTATAACATACTCAAGTAAATAATGGAAAATAAAATAGTTCTATCATATAGATATCTGAAATCGTGTCCAAGTCATACATCTTCAGCTCGATGAGATTAGAGAAGCAATTTCTCTTTTAGTCTACAACAATTTCTCTATATGAGTGCACAATCTCTTAGACTTCCTTTTATTCAATGCTTGAGCAGACTTGAAACTATTTCTAGTGTTCTAATTGAATATTTGCTTTACTTGATGAGACATCTAATATGTTTAATAATTATCCAATACTTTTTGCAAGTCATAGTTAATTTTTTCAATATGATGTGAGATACATCATAGCATCATCACAATAATACATCCATCAAAGTATCATGATGAGACTAATTGGTTGTAGAGGATACTCAGGTTTGGGATCTTTCGGTATATATATAACTTCTATTTATCTTAAAGGTAGAATCTCAAGATATTATACAAGTTATAGAAATTATAACCATCAAATGTTATTGTCTCTTGAAACTCAACAAGAGATAGGTTTTGGAGGGAGTAGAATTATTAACAGTTATCAACAGAATTTAACAAAGTTTCATTTACTATTTTCAATATTTAATCTTTAAAAATTAATACCTTATATTGTTTCTTAAAACATTAATTTATTAAAGTCTAGGATCCAAGTAACGAAACAAGTAAATGGTTAGGCGACCTTTATCCCATAAACTTAATCAAACTCGGTAGGTAGCAATTACCAATTACATACGATATGTCACTCCTAGATTACGGGATCCTAAACAACTATTGTTTATCTTGTCATGTTTATCTCATCTATGCCTCAAAACTCTTATGTTTAGGCGACCTTTATCACATAAGAAATTGATCAAATCATCCATTTAAAAGACATGTGAGTTCTATTTCACAAATGGTTATGTGACCTTTATCCCATAAGAAAATACAAAAACACCTTGACTATTTTTGACAACTCAAATGAATAACCCTAAAATCCATATAAAGTGCACAGAAATCCCAAGTGAAATTTAAATGGATTGCATTAATTTGAAGTTTTTTAAATAAGGGTTTATATATGTTTTACAATTATAGTTTATAAAAACATGGTCTCATGAATATTGCATGCATCCAACAATTCATATACCCTTTTGTAAAATCCATATCACTTGTTATGAGGTTCTTTAGGTGCCAAATAAAATTTCATTTTATATGCCATTAACCGCGATCAATTATAAACTAAATTCGGTATTTTAAAGTCTAGTCGTAGATCAATTTTAAGAACCGGTAACAGTCTTAATAAAACTATATTTAAGACTTGAAGTTTTAGATGAGTTATAAAATCAATATTTTA